GCCTCGGAGTTCCTTCTCATTACCTTCAGAATTAACATATAGCTGAAAGTTTCCAGACACACACTTGTGTATAAATATCATCATCAATCAAATTTTATTTATTATAGCCTATATTCACAATTTGTCTCACAGAGCTTAACAAGGTGCCATGCCTCTGTCCTTAACCCTCAACAAGAGGCAGGAAAAACTACACAAAAAAATATTATCAGGGGAAAAATATCAGAGAGAGCCACATGTGAGAGATCCCTTTCCCAGGACAGAGATGCCACATGTAGCTGATCAGTTTATATAGGGTATATATATATAAAGCAAAATGAAGGGAGCAGCAATGAAATGAGTTATTGCCAGTATGGCAGAATATGTAAGTGGGCATATTGCTTATGAAGTAATCTTGTTATTACCCCAATCCACCTCCACGATCACAATCCACCAGTAGGCGATAACCCTATGATAACCTGCCAGTTCTGCCGTCCCCTCTCAGCCATTCCCCATCCCCAATGAGACAGAGTGCTGCATGAGCAGATAGAGAAGTTGGTTAGGGCTGCTGACTAAATCACAGGATCTGCACTTTAAGTTTAAACCCCCGCTACTGCAAGATTTGAATGTGTGGGACCCAAAGCCAAAGGGAGGTCAGAGCAGAGATATTCACAAATACTGTAAAAAAAAACTGCAACAATATGCACATCCAGTAAAAATATCTTTTCATGGGTTCTGGATCAAAAAAACACCACAAAATGTTTGAAAAAGAGAAAGTCTGCACTAAAGCTCCTGTTCAATGGTCACTGGCAAATAAATCTTTTAACAGGAGCGGTAGGTGTGGGGATTTTCTCTTTTTCAAATACAGTAAACCTGCCAGAATGGTACTGAACAGAACATGAGTAGAGCACTCTCTGCGTCTCTCTCTTTTTCACAGTCAGTCAGGCAGGTATTCACCGAGTGCATCCACACCACAAGCACACAGTTCTCTCCTGCTGGGGTGTCGTCCCCCACAACCCCACCCTGACCAATCAGCTCCAAAAGCGAATCCTCTGGAGAACCACTCCCAAGTAATATTTACTCCAAGTTTGGTAAAAATACAGCATTGTTTTGGAGAATTGAGAACCATTTAGAACCAACCAACAATTAAAATCAGGGTAGGGGATACAACCATCCCCCCTGGCAGGATTTAAAAAATGGCCTACTGAATATTACAATAATTTCTAATTCTGAGTTGAAGTACCTGCATGTGAAAGTTACTGATGATGGGTGTTCTGCTAGCGTTGTATCAAAAAACATAGTAACCGTTGGCATGTGAAGTACAGAATGACAACAGTCAGTTTCTTCAGAATTATCCATTGTCACTTGTTTCAGCTGCGTCATCCCGTCCCTCCTTTATCCTAATTTTTCCAAAATCTTTGAGTTTACAAAGAATTTCCTATTTTTAATTGATGAATGTTGTTTTCTACATTAGAGGAAACATTTCAGGGTCTCAAAATCTGCAAGTTTTGGTTGCTAATTGTCAATAAAACTTTAAATAATATTCTCTTTGTATTCGAAAAAATATACTAGCTTAACCTCTTCAGGTTTCTGTTGGAAACTCCAGCTTTTCATCTTTTTCTTTCATAAAAATACCCCAAAAAGTTTTTTCCATGATACACAGTGATGAGTTAATATACAGAAAGCAACTTTTCGCTCATTAAGACCTCACAACTCGAGGATTTTAACTTCCCGAACATCAGAAGCTTTGATCTTACCCTGGAGCGAAGAACAATCTCGTTCTTTTGTCTTGTTTTCTTCTATCTATAACAAGACCAGTCACTCTGCAAGTCTTCAGAAGAGAATATTTGATGTTCTGCTATCATCAGCCCCCACCGCTCTTTCTTCTCCCTTTGCTCCTCTGTCCCGTCTCTACAGCAGCGTCAACACAAGCTGAACCAATTCATTAGAAGGCTCAGAAAGTCATTTATGGTAATAGCTCCCTTTGCAGAGGGAGGTGGAAACTCAGCAAAGCCACATACATTTTGTGCAGTCTTTCGCCATATTCTTCTACATATTTTATTTAGACCTCATTTAGATGTGCAAATTGGTCTTCTGAAGTACAGAGGGCAAAAGGACTGGAGAGAAGTGGAGAGGATGATAATTAGGAAGGCGTTGGTCCCAGAGTCATGATGCAGAGCTGAGCTAAGGCGAGTAAAGGGATGAAGGAGGACGGGGTATATCCGCTGTCAGGAGACCATCCCCAGGAATCCCTCTTCCTTATTCATGCAGCAGCCAAGCATCAGGGAGTCTCCCAACCTCATTATGAAATGCGTACTCGCGCGAGTTTATGCAGCAGTGCAGCTCTTGCTTGAAAGCCTCTGCTTATCCACTCCACTCTCCTCCCTTCTTCTTCTCGTTTTAGATCAGATCACTCTGGGGAAGCAATGTCATGCTTCATTCATCGAGATGCCCCACTGTCCTAAATCCCTCTCTCGCTCTCAGTTTGGCTTCAGCACATTTGCGTGGTTGGCACAGGGTGAAGCAGATGCGTTGTGCTGAAGTTTGTATTTACTTATAAGTCTCTGTGTCACTTGGATTGACAGGCAAATTGAAATGAGAGCATTGCACCGCAGTGAAGCTAAGCTCATTAAAAATGCACAAAAAGCATACATGTGTTATGCATACATGAAAATACACGTCAATTAACCATGACTCCCTGACATTTATTCTCCAATCATAGCTTAGCAACTGTAACTAGGTGCAGCATGGCTGCAAAGCTGTGGATTTCTTAAGATGTTGAGGTGGAGCTGTGGAGGATACTTTGTGGGGATACTAGTTACTGTATGTTAAAGTCATTCCTTTCTTATATAGCACATCCACTGTGTTGTTTATCCCCATTTTGCGGGAAAGAGTTTTTCAAAGGTGAGACCAATGCTCCAGCAAAGAGTGCAAGTTGAAAGTGAATTGAGATTCCATGCAGATAACAATATCTCCACCGTGCACTCACCTTTTCTTCAATATGTCAAAGGTTACTATATGTGGTTCAAGCTCATCTCACAGCACAGGTGGGACCTGTTTGTGAATTCCTGCCTTGTATTATTGCCTCCTCGAAGCTGCATTGCTCTTCCAGATTCATTTCAGTGCCTTCCTCTTCCCTGCATGGGCCCAGTGGGAAATAAATGGGCCAGGCCTTTTCACTGGAGCTGGGCGGCCGCCATTAGAGGGACTAGGTTGACCTGTGGCATAAAATTAAGAAGGTTAGGCCCATTGAGCAGCCCGGCTGATAGTGGCAGAGGATAATAAATCCACTGAGAAGGAGGGAGGATAAGAAGGAGAGAGGGGATGGATGTGGCAGCCTATGCAGCCTCAGGGACACTTAGGATCCCTTTTATTAGCAGGGTTATTTTCACCCTCTTCTTTCAATGGCCTGTCTCCTCATTGAGCAGCGGCACCAACATGTACACTCTCTATCATGTACTGTGCACCCTCTTAGTTTGTCCCTGCTTTTTCTGCAGCGAGATGGAGGCTGTGACATGCTGCATTTAGCAAAAATGAAGGAACATGTGCCCCACTGTAACCATACAGCCTGTTTGTGTATCATGCTTTGGCTATAATACAATGTTATATAATGTTAGTAGGCTCAAAAGAAAGGCTCATTATTATTATTTCCAGGAGAGTGGGGGGCAGTCTACTAGGTTTATGTGTGAAATGATCACTTGGATGATGATCTGACTCTTCCTGCCAATATCTTTTTGCCTGTGTGGATTAAGTTTAACACCATCCAATAACTTACATTGCATGACCTTATGTCAATTATCTGCATTGTAAACACAAGGTGATGTCATATCAATGTCCTCCTCAGTGACAGCTATCTTGGGTTCTCATTGTTTAGCGGTGTAGCTTTAGGGTTGAAAAATTTGGGGCAGCTAAAAAAGCCTTAAACTCAGTTTCCTTGGTTCTTACCAAAGAGCCATTCAAAAGAATCAACACATTCACGACCAACACATCACTACAAATAACCACATGGAGCTTAAGAAATTCATTTATTCATTCATTCTAGTAACACAGCTGTATTACAGTATGTATACACATAGAAAACACTCATAGGTAATACTTGCAAATATGTTTTTCTCATAGTTGCACTCATGAATACAATATATGAATATAAAGATACGAGTATGCCCATGAAACATTTCCCTGAAGGTTTGCCATCGGAGAAAAATAAGCTCAATTTTCTGCACTTATGTCAATTGTCATATTTGAATTTTTCAAATGTGAGGCAAGTTTATTTGTATTGCATCATTCAATCACTTTGATCATAATGCATTACATTTAAAGACAGTGTTTGTGAGTGATTTCCTTGAGAAATAAATCTGTCTCTCTGTTTGTTGTGTTGTTTCTGCTGTGGCATGGAAAAAGCCGAACTGACAGATTAAACATGAGGTTGGCAGAGTTTTATGCAATCTGATTCGACACTGGTGCAAACGGGAGCGCGTTTCTGAGGGCTTTTCATAACCCTCTCCGCGTTATGACTTTCCGCTTATATAATCATCTGCTCTGCGCTGAGGGCTGGCATTCTAGCACCAGTCGGCCCATGTACCAAGACATGAGGCAGAGTCTGGTAAATTATGTCTCACATTAGAAAACCCCTGGATTCTGCTTGGTAACATACTAATGTCTTTAATACAACCTCCGCACAGAGGACGAGCCACTGCTGAATCTCCTTAATGAGCTAATTGTGTGCTTCATATCACAGAGCAGAGCTGAGCAGTCTGATAAGAAACTCAAACATCTACATTAAAAATATACTATAACACACCATCACAGTGCAAGAAAGACGTCTTCCTTAAATGGCTGAAAGTCTAGAAGGTTTTGTCTTCTACTTTCATAATTAAAAGACACTCATTTTAACGGAAGTCTTGGCTTGAATTTGAAGTTATAAAATCCTGGTGTAATTATAATAAAATCTGATTCCTGCCAGTTACTTTCCATCTGTTCTCTCCGACTTAATGTTGTCTCCCTACTTTGTGTTTTGTCTGCAGGGTTCTGAGAACACAGTCCCTGGAATGGTACTACAACAATGTGAAGAGTCGGTTCAAGAGGTTCGGCAGCGCCAAGGTTTTGAAGACTCTGTATAGAAAGCACATTATCGAGAGAGGAGCGCTCTCTGATCTCCCAGGTAACGTCATCCTCTTTATTAGTCAGCCGCACACGGCCTCCATGCAGACGCTTCTTTTCTTTCGCTGTTTATTTTCTTCTCTATAATCATCCTCCTCTGCATCGTCTCTGATTGCAAAGCAGCCTCCTGTCTCTCTGCAATGTTGTGTCATGTTTTGATTAAAGCAATTTCACTGTTTTAATATTACTCGTCCTCCGAGTTTGAAGTAAAATGGCCTCTCTTGAGGTTGCTGAGGTTTCCCTCCGGGGATGAGCTCCCTTGATTGCTTATTAGTTTGCTTTGTTAAATGATCGGTCACTTCGTTTCAAACCTTAATTACTTTCTCACAGGAAACAAAGATTTATTTTCACAAATACACACACACAAGCGGTTCTCACACATGAACACAGCAGAGAATTGTTGTGGTCCGATGTGTTCACAACAGGGAAAGTGAGTGGTGGGTTGTGTCTGGTGAGAACATGCAGGAGGCAGGACATGACGTATCGATTCTGCTGCGTCAGCTCCTGCGTCAGGAGTGCTCACATTTTTGCATCTTTTCAAGTTGGCATCTTCGTCTACGTTCATGGCTCCACTTTTTCCATCCTGAGATATTTGTATTCTTCCAATTTCACCTCTGTAGGTTGTGAAAACACACCCACTCGCTGACTGTGAAATTTTCAGACATGTTCCTGCTATATTCTCACATGGGCTCACTGGACATTTTACTAGGGAGCTTAGCTTTGTTCTTGCATTCAGCCCTTCAGGAAAGTGTCAGTGCATGTCTGAAACCAGCTGTATGCACACACATCTCAAGGGCGGCTGATTGTTATGTGGAACAAACACTTAATTTCATCACTGCAGCTCCTATAGTGATGTTTTTTCTGCTGTTGCACCTGCAACTGTGATATGAACTGTGTGTGTTTTCGTGCGAGTGTGTCAGCGGTGATGACGAGTTGCCCTGCCGTTTCATCCTACCAGTTAATCCCAATGGTGCACAGGCCACTTTTCGTCCTTAGTGAATTGTTCCTGTGCAGGACGGCAGCGGTTCAGCTTTCATCCAGCCTCCGCCTCCTAATAATATTGTTGTGACCCGGCAGCAACATGATCAGTCTGCCGCTGTGCTGCATACACAGGATTAAATGGATGACGAGAGCACAGAGTGGATAAATCAGGTCAGACTTGAGGTGGAACTGGATGAGATCGAGATGAGGGGAATAAATGACTGTAATGTATGTAATGATTGGATTGGCCTGTGATAAGGACAAATGTTAATGCCATCATAATTATAATAATCTCTTTTCCACTGTGCCAGCAGAGAAATGCTGCTACATTATGACTAACTTGAGATATATACAGTACATTCCTGTCTGTTACTACCACATTAATACACTTTCCTTTTTTAAACAGCATGTCGAGTCATCGTAAAAGTCAAAGTGACTCTATTGATGAGCTGACAAAAAATCTAGATTTTGCCTTATGGGGATCTAAAAATATGTTGATTGATATTTATAACAAGGTGTCAGTTCATATCGGATCTTTATCAACAGATAATCAATTGAGGATGTCAAACAATAAAGGGTTTGTGCAACAAAAGCCAAAAATCTTTTTATACTTGAGTTCATTTTATAGGTGTACTGTATAAATCAAGAAAAGAGCTCAACAGTTGAACAGAGAGTTTGATTTTGGGCCATCATTTTCAAACCATCTAACGTAGACTTCCCAAAAACTACGAGACTGTGAAACAATGTTATAAAAGATGTTTTATTCACAGTGTCAAGGAGAAGTACGACTGCTTCTTCCAATATGATTTTTTGCTCCAAAAGTTTGTGGTTTTACGGCCACGGTTCATCTTGTAGCTCGTCGGCCTGGTTCCAGGCTTAAAACTCTTTATATAAGGATTTCATACATCAATACATCAATTGCGGAACCAGAGCCTTTCTAAAAGTGGACATTGACTGTTACACTCCTATGTTGTAAGCGTGGATAAGACTAAACTGAATGAATAAGTTAAGGTGATGGATGCATTTTCCATTAACAGACGGTTCAGGTGCTTCACACTTCATGTTCTTTACTTTTGTGAGAAAGTTTCCCCTGTAGGTAGAAAGTTCTCCCAAGACAAACATGATTGTTTTTGTGTTACGGCTGCAGCTTCTTCTGTTGTATGAGTGGACAAATGATTCTTCTTCTCAACCTCCACTTTTCTCTTTTCCTCTCCTCTTTCCTACCCCCTCATCATCTTCCACTCGACTTGTGGTACATAGTCCTTTCCTCAACTCTTACATCATCTGCTCACCTGAACCCAGCAGATTAAACCAGTTCTTCCTCTCACATCCTCGCTCCCACTAACTGGCGAGCTGACATGCCGTATGATTGTGTATATACTGTGATTTGTGTGCATGTGTATGTTGCTTGTGTGCAACTGGATATTAAAGGTGCTGTCATAACTTATTGGTTCGTTCAGGAAAACCTCAGATTTATTGGCTGAAAAAGATTTTATTAGATATATATCATTGTTTTTTTCTTTTTGTACATTCTTAAGTGTGTTTATATGAAAATATGTATCTTTCCTCCACCCTTGTTATGTTGTACAAATCAGATTAAACTAAAAGGGATTGTAAAAAATGTCAAAAGCAAGTCAAGCTGTCAAAAATATAATTAGGTTTTAATTTATGGGGAAGAAAATACCCTTTTATTCCCTCTTCTGCAGCAAATTATGGGTTATGTCAAGTGTTTTGACAAGTATAGAGTATAACGGCAACAGATTACCATGATGTTCTGTATATCAAGCCTTCTGTGCTTTCAATAGAACATAATATATTTGAGACTTTGCTTCAGCAAGTAAATCAGCATGAGATTGGAGAAAATTCAATTAGATGGTGTTGTTGCTTGATGTTGCACCATCTCGCTTGGTTTACTTTGCTCCAAGAAAAAGAGCTTTTATTATGACGCCGAAAAACTCCCTTAGTTTTAATATGACTCTCCTCTCGTCTTCATTTAATAGAAAAGCAGCCACCTGAACATAAAACATTCTCATCAACCAGTTCCCATTAATGTGAAATACAAGCTCGCTTTACACATGTGCTAGTAAAGAATGTGTAATTATGTTATATATATATATATATCACCAAGAGAACAACGCTTGTGAAATCAACTCTATATGAGTGTGAAATGCCAGCTGACATGACGGTGCCAGACGTGAGCGTTTTACATCTATCGAGTCCCCAGAGAGAGAGTGTGACCTTCAAACCAATAGGAAGAGTAGACAGAGCGAGCGATTAGTACGTGTCCATCATCCGCGTGACCTACAACAAATACCATACCATCTTCTCTCTCTCTCTCTGTGTGTGTGTGTGTGCACATTAGAAAGTGAGTGTTGCTCAGCGTGATAGATGTGGCCCCTGGAGAATCTCCACATTAAACATGGATGAAGAGTCGGTCACCATGTCCTGTAAAAGACGAACTGATAACATATCAGTGAGGACTGAGGATACTTAAAGGAAATCATTGTATTTTTTTTGGCTCCCCTTTTTAATCCGAATTACTGATATAAGATCTTCATCAGGGGAATCTGCAGATGCCAGGGGCCGATGCATGTGTGTTAAATAAGTAATTAATGCCTCAGACGGCAGTAGAGCATGAAATGAGTCCACTTAATGTGTGTTTAGTATGTGTTTGTGTTCACTCATGCATGAGTCTCTCTGAAACACTGTAGCATTAACCAGTCTTAGCCTGTGGTGCACAAGAGGCTACATGTCAACAAACATATGATATTAAATGTGACACTAAACAGTGGAGCCACTGTTTAGTGTCTTGGCTAAAGGAAAATGTTAGAGGGCAAAAGTTTAGTATTAAGTTATATAAGAAAGTGGAGTCACATGATGACTTTATTTGAAATGAAATCGTTTATAATCAGTTGATCAATGCTGAAAAACATGAAGCATCATGATTAACAGCTGAGACTACTGCTGCTCCATCCCCCGATCACAATGTGCAGACTCTGGCCCCAAACGTGTAAGACGCGTCGTCCATCTTTACATACAGTCTATGAATCTTTGGATCTTGTTTGTAGTTTGTATTCAAACAAAACCAAAGTATAAAGACAACATGGACTTCCTTATGTGCTCCCTGATCTCATGGTGAAGAATCCAGAAGTCACCGCACTTGGCCAGTTAGTTGTCTGGGAATAAACGTCTGTAATGTGTTTTTTATACTTCGATGTAACGAATGGGTCAGATATTGAGGTTTGAGTGTTAGTTGCTCGATATTGTTTGGCTGTAAGGTTTACCTCATTTTCCATGTTTCTTATCTCTTGCACCATTTTCCTGAGATTTGCTGTGACCACCCTCTTAAACTGTATCACAGGGGGTTTGTGTTTACGGCATGATAAATGGGTGTAAGGGCAGCGGCTAATGCTTGTAATTTCTTCTAACTGCTTTCCACATTCTTGGTTTTATGGTATAGCATCATCGAATTTACCATGAAATGCTATGTGATGAGTTTCTTCTGAAGCAAAAAAAGCAGGAATGATGGATTTTATTTTTTGACACTTTAATCACATTCATTCCAAATGGGGGATTAGTGTTGTCCCACTTTTTTCCTTCGCTTTGTGTTTGCTGTCACATCCCTCTAAATGTCTGTGGGAAGCTTCCTACCTTCAGTAACATGACAGCGACTCTGAGAAATGTTCAAACATATTATGACCTTCAAAAATTCTGGTCTATTCTCTGCCAAGAAGACTGAGAGGAGAAGTAGCGCAGCAGAGATGTGCAGCTTTATGTTGCTGCTGCCGCCTTTTCAGTGTGGTGACAAAGGAGGAGTTTACATCCTTGTGTGTGTGCGCACTTTTTGTCTGATATTAACCGACATTTTTTAACCATATGTGCTTCATGTGTGCTTGTGTTGTTATGCTCTGCAGCATCGTTTTGTATGTTTGATTGATTGTTTCTGTGTCTGGATTCAGAACGTTGGGAAATTGGATTCAAAAGTTTAAAAGTGCATTATATGTAAAATAAGGGCTCAGATGATTTTTTTATTAATAAGTTGATGGGATTCTCAGGATGATTGAAATATGAGCAAATCAGAAAGATGCAATAAACATGCTCTGTTTCGGAAATCTTATTTCTATTGCTGCACAAACCTGTCAAGTATTGTCACTATGTAGGACAGGCATTTGAAAGCGTTACCGTTTCATGTGGACAAAGATCAGGTACAAGTTGTCATGGAATCTAGGACCATTATTATTTCATGGCAGTGGTTATACCTAGAAAAAGAAGAGGAAGTAAGAGTTACACTCGTCAGTCAGAGTGAGCATATGCTGATGTGATCCATATTCGTCCGATATCTCGTAACTTTAACAAAACTGCCTTAACCTTCGACATCAAACTGCAGTACACAAGGTTAAATGTGGGTAATCCAGTGAGTTCTGTATTTCCTCTACAACAAAACATCATGTCAGAAACCTTTTGTCGCAAGAAAACATAAAAATCTCCTGATGCCTTTGACCTTACAAGGGATTTGTACTAATTTAAGGCTTTTTTACGGAACATTGATGGATAAACCTCCTGTATCATGGCTCCAGTAGTTGAGGCACTCATGGGCCGATTGTCACATTCAGAATCATTAGTGTTGTGTATCTTATCGGAGCTGAGAGCTTGCTGACTCAGAGCACTGAGCTCTGTCTGGAGGGATTGGAGGGCACAATGTTAAACAGAGGCTCAGAGCTACTGCTGTCGAGAAGCAAACGAAGCGACCACAGGGCTCGGACCACATTGGCGTCCACAAAACGGCTGACTCCGTTTGTGTGATACTGACACTGATGTACATGTGTGCACATGTTCAGAGACGTGTGTGTAGAATTAAATCCTACGGTTGTTTCTTCTGGTTGAAACTAAAAATAATGTTTCCTCAAGCATTCTTTATTTTATATGTAATGGTGCGTACAAGTTGGAATTATGTCTTTTGGCTTACATCTCATTCTTTTAATTATCATTTAAAAGGATGGCTGTTTTGTCTTAAAACATCCTACTTTTGTTTCTTATATTGAATTTTTTACGACACTTTTGCGTGTGCAACTATTATCGCCCAAATAAAAGAGACAAAATGAATCGGGTGCAAGTTTGTTTACTTTTCTCCGTCTCCCATGATGTAAACAGACATCCTGTCGGTGCAGCCGTTGTTCTGAGGATGCTGCTTATGAGACTGTGTGTGCTGCCAGATGCTTCACTGTAATTGAAAGGAAACCGTCTGGACTGTTCTTCTTCCTCCTGCTGCTGCTGGCACTTTAGAAATGTTTGTACTAAGTGAAGCTTTACTGGTTCGTTTATTTACCCACTTTTTTCTCCGACTTAAGAGTGCTTTTTATTTTATTCACATTAATCCCTGCATTGAAAGTGCATTTTCCAAAGTTTTTTTTTTAAAGAATAATTTTCCGATTTCTTTTGTGCAAATGGAGTTTGAGTGGAGGTAGATGTCAGAGCTTTAAGAGGACAGTACATTATTCTCAACTCGGGCTGCATCCTTCGAAAGCTGCATATGCAGAATGATTGCATTACAGTGGCTTGACTAGATGGTCATTTTCAAGGCTCCTTTAAATGTGTCCTTCCATCCCTGAGAAACAAAGGCCCCAACTGGTGGATCCTTCCTGGCCCAAGCTATCCCAGGATTTGTTGCACTTCTGTGACAAATTGTTTTTCAAAGATGTAATAGTGCCCGGCAAGTGATGAGACATCCGATGGTTTGAATGATCAGGCTTCACATACTGTCTGTCAGGAGGAGAGGGTCACTGAGTTCTCTACCAGGCTGGAGACAGAGGACTAGAGGAGAAAGAGAACGAGTGTCTGTAGCACTGAGCTTTAGAAGGAGCAAACCTTGAGGTGAGCGAGCAGTAGCAACAGCAAAGAGACACAAAAACAGTGTCAAGCCGAAAGGATGAGAGAGGATGTTCTCCTGGGCCAGTGGTTGCATGGTGAGCAGGATCCCCTCCATCAGGAACTGACTCAGCCAAGCTCAAAGCCGAGGGTGAGGTCAGTCAGGCTGTCAGTGGTAGTGTTGTAATCATATATATATATTTGGAAAGGAAATTATTCTAACTATAGCAAACGGATGATTTTCTAAGATTTCAATATACCGCTCATGATAGCGAATGTGTGAAAACAAAAGTGGTCATTTCACTGTCCCATCACCACTATAACACATTTGCAAGGATTCAGTAAAAATTTGATTAAAATAAAAGTTGTTTGATAAAGTGCTGGCTTAGAAAACTGTTCATTCACTTAACCTTCAGCCACGGTCAGATACCACAGAGGACCTCGTAGACGCTAGCCAGCACTGATGTCTGTTGGTTACCATGGTGATAATGAGCAATATCTTCCTCCACCCCCCCGTGTGGTAGAATGGCACGTGATGAAGAGCAAAGGTGAGATGATGGTCATGGCAAAGAAAAAGGGATGAGTGTACTAGAATGAGACACATTCCATCATGTCTGTAATGACAGGCAGCCATGTCATTCTGTCGTGGGATGAATTATCCTGATATGTCATCGTCAGACGTTTCTTTGTCTGCATATTTGTATATCAGCTTCCCTGTGTGGGTTTAGGTGTGTGTAGGTGCGCTGCCGTACCTGCCCACCCGTCTGTCCTGTGTCTGTGAGGCAGCTCAGTTTCTTTGACAACAGTCCTTCTGTGTCGACATTGTCCCGAGCTGCAGCAGGTAATTTCTCCATCTATTGTCCCCTTCCACACTGCCATCGATGATAATTCAGCTCTAACCAAGCGAGAGCGGTACAGCTCCATCGAACACCGCTTCAGTCAAGAATGAGACAACTCTGGGAGTGAAGGACGGCTGGAGCGTGTAATGGTCTGGGGACATGTTAGACCGTAAAGTGTGACTGGGAGAAGTTGGATGGACATATAGAGATTTAAATCCAATGCATTATAAGTGGAGGAACTCCTCACACACCTTCAGGCTGCGTGTGTATGAGGTGCTGCTGCTGTTGAGGCAGTTTTCTGTGGTTAGATGTGCAGAAAAACATCAAACACTGACTTTTTTCTGGTTGAATTACAACTTGTCACTTCACGTCAAAGTGAAGCGATGTCAGAGTTTGTGATTGCTGGCTCACGGGCTCTGCACTAAAACGTCACACAGCTTTGACAAACAGCAGCTCATCTCGCAATAAAGCTGAAATAGTAGAAGATATGTGACAGCTGGCTGTCTTCCTGCGACTGTCATGGGAATAAAAGAAATTTGATTTGTTTGCTCTGTCTCATATTTTCAAGGGTTGGACTCATTGAACGCTTTCTGAAATAACTTCAGTGCATCGCTGTTATTTGCAAAATATGTGTATTTACACTTGACGGAGAGTCTGTGGGTGTAATGGCAGGCAGTGTTAGACTTTGCTGTGGCAGAGATCAGTGAGAGGCTCTTTGAAGCCAGACTCGCACCAATCCACCGGGAAGGTTCTGACCGTCTCTGTGCATTCAGCCAGGGACACGCAGCCCGTCCAGCAGAAATAGGACACTGGAGAGCAGATTAATGTCGGCGGCGAGGAGACGCGCCAAGGATGGAAGTCACGGATGTTTGGTCATGCTTGTGTCAGCGGCAGGAGCCAGAGCACTGGAACAAGGCCGAGGTGTGGGCTGGGTTTTGTTTAGACTCTGGTTAGTGAATGGAAATGGGCTGAAGTGATGACGAGAGGTGGAACCTAAGACAAGGTGCTCTTGTGTTTTGTCAGGATAGATGTGTATGTGGAGCCTGGTCAGTCAGAGGTCTCACTTCCCTTTTACAGCAGCATTATATTCTACCTTAGTGGTCAGTTAAATCCCTCTCCTGTGCTGCCTGACACTTTGTCTTCTTAATCACAACAGAGCACGTTCTTTTTAAAGCTGGACTGATGAGAAGGCTACAATAAATAGGGGAACCACAGGGGATATACTGTTTCTAACAAGAGTAAATGGGCCACACAGGGAATATGTGGTTAAGGGTTGTAACCTCCATCTTCTTCTTTGACCCCACCCCTGTTCAAACAACCCTGTCTTGGAATCATTACCAGAAAAATTTCCATTTTGGTGAGTGGTGAAGGAAGAACTTAAACTATTTACATAAAAGTACAAATAAATAGACAAAAATGTCCCCAAATATATGTGGTGCATTGGTTCCAAATTTTTTGAACATCAAGTACCCATCAACTAATTAGACCACAGACCCCCATTTGACAATTGTTTTGCTTTCAGATGTTTTATTACAAAAGTATTTGGAATTCAGGATCAAAATAGTCATACATTCTGTCAGTGTGATGACAATATAAGATATATACACAGACCTCACTTTTAGAACCCCTGATGTAGTGGAATAAAAGTATCCAGAAATAAATCTACTAAAGAACAGAGGAAAAATACACTTAAGTAAATGTACTTTGTTTATATCCCACCACTGATTTTAGTCACATGAGTGTCCCTTTGCTCTTACTTGAGATTAAGGGGTTTCTTTGAAAAGGATTCTCACATAAATATTACACTAACTCACCAGATACCTGGCCTGAGTGATCTCAAAAGAAAACACGGTGATGCTTTCATCCACTGAGAATATTCCTGTTCCAAATGTCGGAGAGTGATTTGTTTTGAATGGCAAAAGGGGAATTATCAGATATGTTGTCATTTCAAGTGTCAGTTACTTTTGTTTTCCTTTTATACACAATTGGGAGCGACACCAAGTAGAAGAAACCAAACAATTGCAATTCACAAGACGACAAAACAGAGTCAGGAGCACAAAGTGGGGTTTAGTGTCATTGTGTGCACTGTAACCTACTTTTAATGTGGCAACAGTGCAAAGAAGAGTGTGTAGCTACATTATTGAATAGTATGATACGGGCAGGATGTTTGTGTGTGTGTTATCTGACGGGTTCATTTGTCTTTGTCTTGCAGAAAGCAGTGTTCACGACGGAAGCAACGACAACGATGGCAGCATCTGCGGCAGTGACTCCGCCTTCTACAAACAGAGTGAAGGTGAGAGAAGTGGTGATGAACGAGCCGCGTTTTAAGGCAGCGCTGGGTTTGCCATATTGATTTATTCATCAATTGTCCCTTTTTCCATTTTGCTAAAAGGTTGAGCTTTTATTTTTATTGCCCAATAATAGTTGCCTCAACAAATAGACACCGCACTCTAAATGGTGTGAGCGTGACAGGGAATCTCATCAGTGTTACACAACAATAAAATTAATTGCAAACACACTGAGGAGAAAGCTGTCTTCTCAACATTAAACTGCACACACACAATCACAGGAACACAATACACACACAGCCTCCTACACACCATGAACACTTTTGGACACACATGCCTGTTACACACAAACACGTAATCAAATTGAATTGCTCCTATCTGATGATAAACTAATTTTTTTTTTTTTTTCAGATATTATGAGTTGTTTATGCAATGATCAAGATGTGTCATTTAGATAATGGCGGCTCTTTAGAGGCCCACAAACAAACTGTTTACATCATGTTGTTGTGTTTAAATGGATTAAACCAATAGAAACCTTTTTTCTGTCAGCGAATGGTTTAATGACAAACGACAAAAATCACCATTTTGATTTGAGTGTGGGTCGAATTCATTCCTTTAATGGACATTTGCACAGATGCATGGAAAAAATTTAATTTAAGCAGGAGAAGGTTTGTATTATGCCAAAGTTGGCGCCAGTTTATTAAAAATGCAACGCTCCAGTCATTATGTTGCTGTGTATCACAGAATATTGACACATAGATTTCTTCAAGCAGGGACTCTTATCAAACATGTGAAATTTGGGCCAGATTGGAGAATGTATATATAAGTTCTAACAACTTCTCTTTATGGCAAAATAAGAAATTCACCATGCTGTCATCAATATGTTGTTTCATGAAAGCTCACAATTTTCACAATGAAGCCTCATCAAGGTCTCGCCACTCTGGTCCCTAAAAATGTTTGACAGCAAACTAAATTCTAATCACTCACACTTTATCCTGGTGGAAAATGAATATGTTTACCAAATGTCATGGGAATCCATACATGGGAATCAATGAGCTATTTCATTCAAAACTATAAATGTAAAATTTGTGATGACAGAAGGGCAAAAGTCCCGGATCCCGAGGGGTTTGTTAAGTCATTCGGATTCATCCTCAGGGAACAATGAATGTCTGGATGAAGTGTCATGGTAATTCATCCAGTAGAGACATTACCACAGAGCTTTGCTCCGAGCACCAATAAACTGTGCTGACTGGATATATATTTTATGGCTTGGTAAAAAGTAGAGGTTGGCACGTGTGTGCACGTCTGACAGACATTTGAAGATGCTGTTTGTGTGTGATAACAGGACACAGTATGGCAGAGACGCTCACAGTCGCCCTGCGTGTTGCTGAGGAGGCTATAGAAGAGGCTATCGCTAAGGCGGAGGAGTTCAGTGACAGCTTGGTGAGAATCCCTCTGTTCTTCTTCCTCTCTGATTTCCATTCTTCTCTTTTCATTTCCCACATTCTCTATTGTCTCTTCATTCTCTTCTCCTCGTGTCAGTCACAGTGGGATGCAGTCATGGTTTTAGGCAAAGACATTGGCACAGACCCTTTCCTGGTAATCACTCGCTTTGAACTGAATATACTGTATTTTCGTGTGTGTGTGTAGGAGAAGCAGAATGAGGCTCGGTATCTGCGGGACCACAAAGAGGAGCTCATAGAGGAACTTGCTACAACCATTGTGCAAAAAGTATGTTGAGTAAGAGTGAGTTTTATTTTTACATGCTTACTTACTTTCCTCCTTTTTATATGAAAGAATTATTGTAGTTAACCTTATTCTAATGTGAATGCACCCTGGAATGTAGCTCACTTCTCTATCTTCCCTTTGTCAGGAGACCGTTGTTTAACTTCTGCATTGCATTGATGTAATGTGTTTTGCACTTCAGGGCCACATATCCTCTAATTTGCACACACATAGTATGTGCAGACAAACATTCCAGTTGTTTAATTGCTTTTCAGTTTCATTTAACATGTTGGCCATCAGGTCTTTGAAAGTGGAATAAAATAATTATTCTTATCTCTACTTGAAGTGTTTAGGTGCTCGTCACATGAAAATGGAAAAGAAAACTGGAGAAATGCTTTTACAGTTTCATGATTACAAATTATTCATGGTTAAGTGTAAAATGCTGTTGCAGATTAACATTTTGTTGTGTATAAACAAAGCTTGCTTTATCTGTTTATACCTCAAGGCACATTTTGTCTTATTTCACCTTCTTCTTCTTTTCATGTCGTTCTTTCCCTCTCAGATCATCCAGAGGAGGAAGCATTCAGAGATGCAGACAGAGTACGACTTTGTCTGGTCTCAGTCTCAGTCTCTGATCCAGCCCAGTAACCTTCCCTCTCCATCTGAACCTCACACTTCCTCACAAGGACCACAGGACCCTCTCAAAACCTCCAACTCTCTCTGGGTCAGTGTGCACATCCATTTTAACCCTAAAAAAATATGACACAACAAATGGATACTAACTATATAAAGTTAGTTCAAAATAAAACTGCTGATCCTTGACTAGAAGGATTTGGTCATTGATAATGCAGTTTGTGGTTTGTGTGTCTGTCTGTGTTTTTATGTTCTTCTGGGTGGACCGGACATTATTTCCGTGTGTTTTCCAGGTTTGAACACTGGAATGGTGTGTTTGGCAGGAAATAACATGAACTTTTCATAATCACCGCCCTCATACGCATTTGTGGTGTCATACTTAATGTTGCGTTTCGGCTTCTTTATTTGCCTGGTGTCCTCCGTGATCATGAGTCTGTTCCACTTGTAATTAATCATTGTGCAAAGCTGTAATACCTCCTGGATTTGAATATTTGATGTTGTGGACTCAGATACAACTTTGGAGAAATCATTTGTTTGGATTTGTTTGATATTTGGGTTAAATTTGTCTTCATAAGGAGGAAAAACACTATGAGACAGTAAAAAAGATCCAAAGGTGTAAGGCTATAATAACTTGTTAATAAACATTTTAAAGGTCTTATAAATGATATTCATTGCCACTAGGTGTCACATTTGCATCAGCATCTTGGACCTAAACAAATGCTTTGTAAGCCACACCCCTCCTTTCACAACGTCACTCAATGTTTACACAGAAAATCAGTGTTGGCCAATATATGCACTATATTAATGTTTAAAATCTATTTCTGTATCCAGTGTATAATCTTTAAGCAAATAAAAGAATCTATCAGTTTATCAATACCTGACGAATCAGAGGAAAAGCCAAATGCTGTTTAAATTGCGTTGTTTCACTAAAGTTATTAGATAATCATACACAATACAGGAACAACACACTACACAGCCTCATAAAACTGCATACACAATGCCTGTTCACACAGGAAAGCAAACACACAAATCAGCATTTTACATACACACACACACACACACCTATCGTGGTTCACACCGCTTGTCAGCAGGGACTGCTGGAGATTTGTCATAGTCCCGTATGAGAGAAGCATCAAAGCGGCGCTCCCCGGGCCTCCCCATTCAGTTTCCCACCGCTTCACTCAGCGCAGATCAAAGTCCCATGAAATATGTTGGGATTCTACTCAACTGTCCCATGAGACCGGCTCTGTTTATCAGCTCTATGCAAACACTCTCGATGAGACTCATTGATGCAAATACTCATATCCGTGCCGCATGAACAAATTGTTACCCACTGTAAGAATTCCGATTTCTTCTGTGCCCCACTAGACACTTAAGTCTATACCAGAACATACATTGGTACTCCGATGTACATACTTTTCAAATCAAAGTTTCCTTCACATACACTGTTAGCTTCAAAATAGATTTCAGTGTGAGTTAATGCACATGTGCAACTTTTGAATCCACCTGTACGAACCCTTTTACTCTCAGTGGAGAAGCCTCTAAATCAGTTTCAGGATGGTGTTCAGTTTTTTAGAATAGTGAATATATACACAAACACCAACTGTACAAAGTTGATCCAACAAGAAAACTTCATCCAAAACCTAGAATATTCCCTCATCCATTATAGGATGTCTCAAAAAGACATTTATGGGTGTAGAAGAGAGATGAAGACATTTTTAGAGCTTCGCCTGTCTGTCCACTTATTTAGTTGTTTTCTAGCTCCATCTGCTGTTGAGAGTCTCGACTCACAGCTCTACTGTCTGCTGCCGTGTCTGGATACTGTGTCATTGCAGTATTAATCTGTGTGGAGCATTTGACTGAAAGGCCTGTGGATTTAAGTGACATGGTCCAAAATTACAAAGAAAGCAATGTTGTGTCTCCTCTTCATGTCTTTGAAAAAAAAAATGTAACAGTTGGATTAAATCAGTGTGTTGCTATCTCCGTGTGTGTGTGTGTGTGGTTGTAGAGGTCGCAGTCAGCGTTTTCCCTCACCAGTGACGACTCCCCAGAGAAGGGCCCAGAGGAGGAGGGCGCCGGAGCAGGTGGTGACTTGCATGAGTACGCGTCTCTGAAGCGGGAGGCAAAGGCCACGTCCCTACCCACTTGGAAGAGCGTTGATCGCCTGGACAACTCCAGTAAATATCTAGTCTTCATGCTGCCGATGTTGTTTCAGTAACTAATTCCTAATTCCATCCAAGCATTTGGCATTTATGTATTGCTTAATTTTTTCTCCTTTATCTATTCTCTATGGCCTTTTTACCATGATTTCCAACAGCAACTTTTTGATTACTGGTGGTTGTAGATTTTAATTTTTAATTTTACATTCAGACTGATTCTCTAATGCCAAACATTGCATCCCCTAAAGCTCTTATAAGAAACACAGGTGAAAATATGTCACATTTTCTAAGTGTTTCTGTTGGTTATGTTCATCCAGGTGCATCTTCAGTGCTCCAGAGCCCAGACGGTAACTGGATCGCCCTGCACAGTTCTCAGCTGTCTCGGCCCAGCCTGCTAACCAAGAGGAAGAGCCTGGTGTTCAGCGTGTTGGAAAAGGAGTCCGGCGTCGTCTCTGCGTACGATGAGATGGGATCCGACTCCGAGGAGGACAACGAAGGCGGCTGGGGCGCGGCGTTGAGACAGTTCAGGCGTAAGCTATCCGACGAAACTTACTACACGGACTCGCAGCACGACCCGGAGTGGACGTACACCCAGCACCTTCCCATCACGTCACCGTCCTCCGGCCAGTACACCAACACAGAGACTCTCAACTCGGACTCAGAGGCTTCGTCTGTGCTGTCAGCGTGTCCTCGTAAACCACCTCATAACTTGTTGAGGAAGAAGGGACCGGCGGATACACACCTGCACCCTCATCACCAGCCCCTGTACCACCCCCACCTGCACCAGAACTTCTCTCCATATCCTCTGCACTCAGAGGCACTGGATGTGAACTTTAACCCCAAGGTGATTTGGGATAATTCTTTACTACAAGTACTGATATAGATGTTTTCAAAAGCAAATTTCATCACTTTTATTCAAACAAATACAAAAATAGTATACAAATATACATCCACACATCATAAAGAAAAAGAAAATAATCTGTCAGGACAAAAAGAGAGAGGACCTCATCCCACGGATCCGGTCATGATCCCACCAGAGCATCGCTGCAAAAAGCTTCTGAGGTTTATTGATATTTAGTAGTAACCCTCTATAGCTGATGGCCGCTAGCAGTCGATAATCTAAACTCATAATGAACAGGTACATCAAAACCCAACCACATGATGTGGAGATGGGAGGCTTCCATTGCTGGCAACCACATTTTTCGTTGCTTAAGCCTACAGCTAATAATCCACATTTTTGTTTATTACATTCAGGCCTAAATGTATTTAGTCATTGAGAATGAACGTAATGTTCACCTTACAGTACCAATACAGCAATGTTGTACCCAAACTTAATACTGATGCATCACTAGGTAGTTTTGTTAAATTGGGCCATAAGCTCAATGATTAATGTGGAAGGAATACATTTTAAAAAATGATACGTTCTGGTTTCTATTTATTATATTGCACTATTCATCTACAATATTATACTTTATTTCCCTTTAAAATGTAGCAGAGTAGAAGATAAAGTAATATAATATTAAATGGAAATGCCCCAGGTAAAGTAGAAGGATCTCATAATTGTGCAGCACTTGAGAAAATATGCTTAGCTACTTTTGCACCACTGTTCCCAGGTGATGGGAGACAGCAGCGAGGCCGAGGAGCGGGGGATCGACCCGGTCAGAAGGTCACGGCGACGACGGAAAAGCAAGAGGGAGTCGTCAACAGAGCAGAGCAAACCTGGAGGCCAGAGCCACACACAGTCCATCTATCCCTTAGTACAGGTGAATGAAATGTATAGTTTGTTATTAGTAGTATTTCATTTCATTTCTCCAGCAACTTTTTTCTAAACAGTAATTTGTATATTTCATGCTTAATATTTATTTTCCTTTCTTGTCTGTGTTTTTGTGTTTCTCTCTTCATTCAAGGAGAACAGTGGTTTCCTGCTCAACGCCCTGTTGAAGAGAGGTCTTAGTGAGGAGCAGCCAGCACCCGACACTATGCCCACGGCCACAGCTGCACTAGACCCCTTCAGACTAGATGCCATGACACCAGAGCCCCAAGACTTGGACACAGTGGCCCCAAATTCAGCAGCCCTGAGCCCCCCACAGCCCCACTCTCTAGCTCCAGGGTCCGGAGACCTGGAAGAGGAGCTAAGGTTCCGACTCAGTCAGCTGGTCAAACGTGCCAACAGCAAAGACGACAGCTCCGCTGGAGAGGAGTGCCCTGCAGACAGACAGACGGACAAAGACAGCGACAGACAAAGAGAGAAGAAGAGGCTGAAAGACGCAGACAGGGAACGGCAGAGGGCGAGTGAGAGATTGAGGGAGAAGCCGAGTGAAACAGCTGAACAAGTGAACGGACAAGAGATGAAAAGGAGTGAGAGACTGATAAAGAGTCCTTCGATGAGAGAGGAAGGAAGGGTGAGGGAGAGGAGGTTAGAGAAGGGAGTGGAGAGTGTGGAAGAGAAAGTGGATGACCAGGAACAAACAAGAGGAGACAAAAGAGAAGCACACAGACAAAGCAAGAAACAACATAAGAGAGACGTGGAGAAGGAGGCCGCACAGAAAGGAGGAAGAAGGAGGAGTGGTTCAAGTGCAAGTTCACCTGCTGTTACACCTTCTTCCCAGGAGGAGGTGCTGTCAGACAACCAGGTGGGGAGAAGTATCTGTTTCCACTGCTCATCATCAGCTTTTATCACTGCTCTGCTTGAGTTCGTCTGTCTGTCTGCACTTTGATTAATTTATCTTCTTCCCACCTTCCTCTTCCATCCATTTGTTTAACAATCACTGCTGTGTGCTTCTCTTCTTCGTTTTCGCTGCTCTGTGTGTTTCTGTGTGTGCGTCAGGAGGGACAGAATGACTCGGAGCAACAGCAGAGGCTCCAGTTGCTCTCCTCTCTCTTGCAGCAGGTGAGATATGGGTGAGACAGCGAAGACTTCTTGTGACATGTGAAGGAGGCCTTGCTCAACAACAACTATGGCAACGCTGCTATAGTCACTTAATGTATTGTAATATATTTATTCCTCCCTGAAATGCACAGACGTGCTGCATACTGGTTGTGTGCATGTGTCTAATTGGGTCAAATGTGAATCGTGCGTGTGTTATATTTCACTTCTGCTGCAGCTTTCTAAAATACTTGTGGTAGCGTCTTTTCGCATGAATGAATTAAACAGAAGTCATCCATCATCAAAGAGCTGCAGACTTTATTTTTTATCATTAATAAAAACCTATGATCTTTGGGTTAAAAGCAAAGCTGCAGTATTGAAATTTTCACATAGTAAATCCACACCATCATTTACATAATGGGTGAGTCCAACCCCACACAAAGTCAGACAGACAGACTCACACACATTCATTTATGAGCTCACCTCCTGTACTAGTGTTGCATCTGAGGCGTGTGGGTCGATGCTGGTCACGTGCCGGACTCATAAGAGCTCCTGTGAGTAATGCTCGTCTCTCACAATGCGTATGACAAAGGTGTGGTGTGGTCTATTTCTTATGGTTTTTCACAGCTCCCCTGTCAGACCTGTCAGGGCGGCTCGATCAAATGTAAAAGGAACAAAATGTGACATAAGGGAGTCATTCAGGGCTTTTTAGATATTTTATTTTATATATACACATCAAGTTACACAGGAATTCATATGCTGAATTTCACTTTTACATTTGCACAAGCATAACTGGCATGGCAATTTTATTTGTTTGTTTGTATATTACTTAACCATTCGACTGAACTCATTAAATGTTGGTGTGGATCCAGATCAGGGGGCTGGTCCAGAATTCTTTTTTCACATTCTTTAATGTTGCAAGAGAGTTTTAAAGCGTTTTTTAAACATTCAACACATTGATGGATCTTATGGGTGTGTACAATTTGGTGCCAAACCAAATAAAAATCCAGATTTAATGTGGTTTACACTGGAACGCAACATGAATTAAAAACAACTACTAGATCATACAGTTATATGGGAAATACCATTCATAACTATAACTATTAATTAATTGTAGTTTATTATTGACAATAATACAGGCTTTAAAAATCTTAACATTTCTTACTTGATTTAAAAGTGTGCCCCAACTCTTCTTCCCATTTTAAAGTTGTGAAACCTGCCCCTGCTCTTAACTATTAGGTTAATTAGTCATTTAGAAATCCTACATATTCCAAAGTGACATATTCCTTTCTTACATTATATTATTATATATATTTCTGTCTGGAACAAAACTATGAGTTAATGTTTCAGCATCATGACCAGTGAGGCATGTTTGTGCATCAGGGTGTTTGATCTGAATGACGACGGCCTGGTTCTTTGGAGTGGATGACAACATCAGACTCTCACCGAAGATCCATTTCTCAATCGACCAACCCCAAGTCAATATCTCCCAGCATCCATCTCTGCGTCTCCGTCTTTGTAACATCACTGAACAGTTCATTTAAAAGAAAGATGAGAGGTTTGGTCCTCAGCCTCTCATCTGTCTCCCTGTACTGTAGCTTGTCTTTACTAACGCTCTGCCCCTCATCTCTCTCTCTCTTTCTCTCTCCCATAAACCGGGTGATACTCTGCCTTTCAGACCGTTGCGTCTGTGTGGCTGAGAGCGATCAATACGCCTCCAACCCCACTGATCAAAGCTTTACATCCGTCTCTCTTTACTACGACATCTCGTTTCCTATGTGTTCAGAAGAAAACAGCATATTTCCTTACAAAGACGGCATGTTCACCACTGAACTATGATTTAGCTCAGAATTTGAAAACAAGCTGCTCTAGTTAATCTGAACACATTGACTGAGATGTTTATTTATCTTTTAAAGGACTTTTCCTGTTTCTTTATTAACTCAGCTTGCAACATTTAGCAATTTTTCTAAATGTTTGGATCAGATGGCGCACTCGTACATATTGTTGTTGAGGGGCTCTGATGGACAAGTATTATCGTGTATCTGCTGTGATTTGAAATTGAGAATTTAACAGATGGCTGAATTTGTGGTTCTTAAGCTGCACAAATGTTTTTATTTCTCTCCTCATCTGTATAGAGATAATACTTCATCATCCATCACTTTTTGCACATCTGAGCTCAAACATCCATAGCTCCATTGGTTTTCACTTGCTTCCTTCCGTCCTCCTCTTCCCCCTCATTTCTCCCGATTCTGGATTTTTCCCCAGCTCTTTTCGTGATGCAACAGTAATGCGTTTCACACTGCACAGTCTTCCTTTACACACTTTGAACATGTGTAATGATAAAGTCCTAAAGTCCTGATTGAAGTTTGTTATATTCCCCTATTTCATGTCATCATGTGACAAAAAGTCACATGATGACATGAAATATTTAATTAAAATAAATGTTTTG